CCCTCTCCCTCCCTCTCCCTCGCTCTGTTCGCGAAAGCCGCTGCCATGCAATGCCGCCAGGCGGACTGGCTTCGTCGCGACGACGCCCCATTGTCAGCGACGGCACAGCGCCGAGAGACACTCCGAAAAATTAATGCCAGTATTTCTGTTTCGTTTTCCTAGTGAAGACGTAACCGAGGAGCGTAGGAAAGGAAGTTGTAGAACCAAACAGGTGTGCGAGCGGGATTGCCTATCGCCTCTAATCGACTATGGCGCCTTTCAGGCCGAGTGAGTAGGCAACCGGCTACCCTCCCACACGTAGGAATGCGGTACTGAAGTGCGCGGGGTGAATCAGCCACCGGGTATCTCGGGATTGCGTAAACGCGTTCTCACTCGCTAGGATCGTAGGGTAGGGTTTTAAATTTGTAAGTAATTTATTTTCTTTACGTAAGATTGGTAAAATACCGGTAAAATACGGTAAAATTGGTAATTTTGGTAAAAAATGGTTTAATCGCTTTTAAATGATGATTTAAGTTGGTTTTATTATTGTTTACTACTTTGAGGGCAATTTTTCGTACTATTGCCTTTATTTGGTTATGTCTCTGAGGTAAAACGTCGTATTTCTCCCCAGCACGTAATTAGTTTGCGCGTTTATTTTTTGATGTGATGACAGTGATGCTGACATCTAAATTGTAAGTTTTAGAAACTTGTGTGATATGTTTGCCAATGACTATAATTTCTTTTTATTTTGTGATTCTTGGTTACCTGTCTAGTGTTATACATAGTAAAGTAAAAACTTTTTGTGATTTTGGTTTTAGTGCCATTTTAAGTTTTAAGTTTAGCTACTTTGACTTTCTTATAATAAGAAAAATATGTTTCCTTCAAAGTTAATGCGTTGTCCTTAAGACACAAACGACTAAACCTCTACTAGTAGAAACAAACCTATGCCTCGGGAAACCAATTAATTCAATTTTACCGATGTAAGTAAAAAAATATAAATTACCTGGTATTTTACCGTAAATTACATGCAATTTTACATGTAAAATTACCGGACTTAAAACCCTAATCGTAGGGCGTGGGCCTGACTGAAGGGCGAAGGGAGTAGGCAAACTCGTAACACTGAAGCGCAAGATACAGCCGGTCCGGTCAAATTTTAGGACACCAAAACTGCTCATGCGTTTTTCAGTGTAGTAGACGCAAAAGAAGGCCAAGGGTTAGGGTTCCCGATCACCGCGTCTAAATCGCACTTTGTTGTGGTGGTTGTGGTTTCGGGGGGCAGAAAAAGGCGAGAGGTAGCAAGAAGGGGGAGGGGGGCTGTCAAACTGTTGCCCACTCTATTCTTCACGCCAATTTTCGCATCGAAAATGACGGGAGTGGGTCTCGACTGCGTCCCGACTCCGTCCCGACTCCGCCCAAGGTAACGCGCAGACTTGATTGGCCAAGGGGACTGCCACAAAATCTCCAAACATTTCCCCTTTTCCGCATGTCAGATCTATGGTGTCACGGTGGGGCCTTCAGTCCAAGCAACTGTCTAAAAAATTATATGAAATTTTGTCATGACGAATTCTGTATTCAATCCTCCCTAGTGCTAGATACTGCTTCGAATGCTTCTCTCGGACAACTATATGGAGTCGCCGTCCGTGGGCTGCTTCGAGCCCCCCCCCCCCCCTTTCCCCTCTTCTCGCTCTCTTGCTCTCCCTCCCTCGCTCTCTTGCTCTCCCTCCCTCTCTCTCTTGCTCTCCCTCCCTCGCTCTCTCTCCGTTGCGCGGATGCGGTACGGGTGGAGTGTGTGGAGTGTGGATGGCGCGGGGAACCGGAGAATCGTCCGCGGGATTACATATCGATCAGGAATCGTGTCGTAACCCAAGAGCGGCCGCGCCCGGGCACACAGTTGTCAGTGTCTGCCAAACTGCTTCTCTTCTCTTCAATATGCCGCCGCGGGTGGCGTGCTTTTGTGTGATCGACCGCGTCGTCGGCCGCAGTCCGATCTGGGTCCCGACAGCTCGAGATGAAGCAGGACTGGGCGCCTGCCGAGGGCCGCCTAGGCAGACCCGCCGCACGCGCGCGCGTCCCGGCTGCCTAAGTCCATCACGCGCAACGCGCATGCCTGCTGCAGCAGGGCGGGCTCGGCGGCCGGGGCGAGGACGGCGACCTCCACTCGCGGGCCCTGGGCGCCGCAGGTCGGCCCTGTCGGCCCTGTCGGCGTGGGTCGGCCGTGTCGAGTCGCGATGCTCCGCGGAGGCTTTTATCGCACGACACGGCGATCGACCCGCCGTCAGCGGGTGGCACGCGAGGGCCGAACAAAGTGTTTCACGATGGGATGTGTTGCGGCGGAGATCCAGCAGCTTGTCCTGAAAATTACAACTTACGAACCGCTTCAACCACTTCAGCGCTTCAGTTACACCTATCGCATACTCGAAAGATCAGTTACTCTGATGAAGATTAAAATAAGTGTTTGTTCGCTGTGCACTACTTGACTCTTGTGGGACGACAGCGTGCGACAAAGTATCGCATGTGAAATAGGATATGGGGAAATCGGCGTGGGTTTCGCTGTTGGTCTTGACAGAGTACCTGCGTGACCGTCCACGGGCTGAGCTGTCCGTCCGCGACTCTGCTGCTTTTGTGGTACAGACCCCCCCGCGGCCGGGCTGGGCCCGCGGTGTTCCGTGCCTATCCGACTGGCTATCCGGCGGGGCAGGGCGG